AGCTAATTGTGACAAAATTTCACACAAATGTCGAATAGGATAAAATGATGAAGTGATGACATTTTAGATCCAAAAGGTCAAAGGTCAGCTTCACTGTGACCTCGTAATGTTCTAAGAAAACACATTACTTAACGTTGTAACTCAGGAACAGAAGGGGAGACATATGGTCAGATCCTGAATAGGTGACACCTTCCTTGGGTGCCCACCTTGACATGGCAGTAATTGTATAGATCTCCATAGATCTGCCAGGTTAAAAATCTGTGTGAAGCATCCAATGTGTTCAAATTTGTAGCCTCTTCGCAGTATCATCCATATTCGAGGCATTTCCAACTGCCATGGCTACATCTGAGTCTAGACAGACATGGATGTAAACTGTATTTAAACATGACTGGTTCATGGAGGCATACAATGGCATTGAGGTAACTCTAGTTTCTTTGATAACCTAAGATCTAGATGTTCCAGAGGTTTTTACCAGGAGCTGAATTATCCATGGAGTTCTTTGCCTCTCCAAAACAAATGGACCTGGTGATTTAAACCAGTAAAAACACTGAATAAAGCAGTTTCATGTTAAAAATCTGTGTTTTTTTATGCTGTTTGGCTCATGCCAGACGGGCTGCTGACTACGGTGGCTGTTAGGAATGGCCCTATCTATAGCCAGTGTTTGGATTGTTCATTCTGGGCTACTGTAGAAACATGGTGGTTCAACAAGGACCCATTCCCCATTTGGATATAAACGGCTCTTTCTAATGTTACGAAAACTGGACCTTTAACTGTGGTACTCTGAGAAAATGCTTTGTTGAGGGAAAGACAGAAGAAGAAAAGACAAAGCAAGAGGGAGGGGTAAAAGCAGCCCTGCTGACCCACAAGCAGAAGCAGAAGTCACTGTATGTCCTGGTGGGAGGCAGGGAGGGATTTGATTAGCAAACTAATGAAATCACAACGCAGTGTGTGTGCGTCGTGTGCGTGTGTGTGTGTGTGTCTGAGGATCTGCCTTCGACACACAGTCACACACACTCTCGTCGTCCTGAGAGGCAGTCAAAAGCTCCCTACAGTTTCCCGCTGCCTCTTCTTGCTGCTGTGTCATTCTGCATCACTGGTGCGGGGAATTAGTTCTTTGTTACTGCTGTTTACCACCTTCATTTCCCAACCCTGAATCCTCATCCACCTGGCTATCGACCCAGCTACAGCAAAGCCGTCCATCTACACCTCCGCTCGCTCTGTGTATATGTGTTCGACTGGGTGTGTAGGTGGTTGGAGGGGGTGGATTTTTTTTTGTGAGCATCTCATAATTGCACTTGTGTTTACATCCGTCTCTTTGTGTGCATGTTTTCTTTTTTATTGTCTGCTTCTTGAGCTGCTTGTCTCTGTGTTTGCATATATGTGTGTGCCTGTGTATTGTTGCAAGTGAGCCTGTGTGCCCTTGTGTCACATGTGTGGTCTCTGTGCGAGTGTGTCACAGAGTGCAGCCCCAGGGTGGCTCCGCAGAGGCGAGGCAGTGGCAGGCCTGTCTGAAGTACTTAGGCCAGACAATGCTCAGAGCCAGAAGCTGTGGCTACACTGACAGTTGAATTATGTGGCTAAGCACATGGTCACAGGTACTTACCTATGCTGCACACACACACACATAGATACCTGTTGTGGTTGTGGCTTGTCACACTACAGTGCTGCAGGCTGATGAGGAGTTAAGTCACAAACACTTGGGTGGATGGAATAGCCATGTTTTAGGGCGCCAAGCACTAAAGGTGTGTGGACTGGCTGTGTATGTATCTATCTGAGCGACAAAGTTGGCAGCAAATATCCAAGCAGAAAGTGGGCCATATGTCTGCGATGGTGATTAATATTTGCTCTGTGGGAGCATCCTGTTAACTCAGTGGTCTAAGGATGTAGAAAAGACAGAAGGAATCTTACAGAGAGTGTGAAATGTGGCAGGGTTGTGCATTGCAGTGCATCCTAAAGTATGCTGTAAGGTAAGTAAGACACCTTTGGTTGCTGGGTGTATGTCCGAACAGGCCAACTGGACCCAGGGGCTCAGGGGGAACCTAAGCCAGAGATTCTGTGTGAGGTCGCTGTTATTAACTTTAGTGTCAATAGCAGAGCCACAGAAGTCCAAAAAAGGATGTCATGAGAAAGAAACAACCACGCTACATTTAAAGTCAGTTTTAATTCCCTGTATCTTACTATTTAATGACGAAAACTCTGTCTGTGGGTGTGTCTGTGTGTTTGTTCCACGTTTTTCTCCTCACTGACTTGGTCAATCCATGTGAAATTTGGCACAGTGGTAGAGGGTCATGGGAGGATGCGAATGAAGCAATATTACATCAATTGGCCAAAGGGGGGCGCTATAGCAACCGATTGAAATCGCAAACTTTGAATGGGCATATCTCATGCCCCGTATGTCGTAGAGACATGAAACTTTGCACAGAGATTCCTCTCCTCATGAGGAACAAATTTGCCTCAAGAACCCATAACTTCCGGTTATATAGATTTTCCACCATTTTGAATTTTTTGAAAAACACTTAAAATCGATCTCTTCCTAGGAAGTTTGATCGATCTGCATGAAACTTGGTGAACATAATCTAGGGACCAATATCTAAAGTTCCCTCTTGGCAAAAGTTGGAAAACTTACTAAAACTGAGCTTCTATAAGGCAATGAATATTGCGGAGGGTGTGGCTCATCACATAAAGGTGGATAACATCTCAAGGGTTTCACTGATCACCACGCAACTTTGTAGGCGTATGACCACACATAATCTGAGGGTACCCCTCCATTATTGACCCCATCAAACAAAATGGGGGCGCTAGAGAGCTAATTTCTTATCTAGGCCAAACCACCATATCGATTTTTACTAAACTTGGTAGATATGTAGAACAGGATGCCTCAAGGTGACTGGAGAAATTTAACTCTAATTGGCAACTGGGTGGCGCTATAACAACAGAAAAATGCTTAAAAATGACTAAAATGCGACCGATCGCTGTGGCTCCCCCTGTGGACCAATGTTTTTTTCTAGTTTTTGGTATGACTAAGTCATGGTATGGTATGGTGTACATAATCACGGAAACTGTCATTGTATCAGTCAGTCAGTCAGTCATTCTACCAGTGCGCCCCACTTTTAAGTCCATACAACATGTAATGACTTCAACTATCTGCCTTTCAACGTGCTACCTCAACTACTAATGTACAGTTTTAGCCCACTAGCTATCCCACTATTGGCAATGGTACTACTGTACTTTCAATAAAGCAATCGTACTATCCACTTCACAAAAACTCTGTCTGAATACAATGCTCTTCTTAATGGGTTCAGTTGACTATTTAATCTGCAATTTCCTATGACCTGTATCCCAAACACACACCATGTGAAACTGGACGTGGGCAACTGTGCACTCACTGGGTATGGACTAGTCTGTAGGACTTCAATTTTGTGGGGAGACACAACAGCATGTTGTAGGCCTACCTGCTGGCAGTGGGGGTGCTGGGGCTTTTATGCATCCAGGCCAAGGGGCCCATTGTCTCACAGTCCTCCCATGCTTGTGTTCATAAGCAGTCACAAATCTGATTTTTAAGCTACTGAAGAAAGTCATCAGAATTGGATAAGAATCATGGATGAACCAACACATTATTCACAAACTCTCATGCTCTTGAATTTAGAGATTTGGTGGACTTTGAAACTGCATAATTAATGCGCACAGTGAAAAAATAAGATGCTTCCAGACTGTACACAGAAGTTGCTCCAAATTAGAGTGAGTCAGTATGAACTAAGAGGAATTTGTATGTTTACAAAAATATCCAAAGGAGTTAGTTTGTGGAATAGTTTCGAGAAGGAAATGAAAATGTGCACACTTTCTAGACTGAAAAAAAAAAAAAAAATATTGATGATAACTATTTGATATTTGCCTTGTTATGTTTGTACATTACTTGTTTGAATGGTTAAATAAAAAAAAAACCTTAAACCTTTAAACTGAAGTGCCATCGCCGGACAAGACAGACAACGAAACAGAAGGAGTGCGACTAACACCAAACAGAAGGAAGCATGGCTGGAGAGAGTCCTCCAGGCTGAGCACAAGAACTTCCAAAGCAGTTTACTGATGTCATTGCCTATTAATTACTTTTTCTTATGTGTATTTGAGCTTTATAACTTGAAAATGACCAAAATATAAAGTTTTGGGGTGGAGTGGTCAGTTTTGTGAGCTGAATCTTTAGCTACAAGTTGCACAAACACACACACACCTTGTAGGACTGATGGAAACGATAACATGTTGATAGAAGTGGGAGGACGCAGGTGTTCAAATATTTGGCCCTGGCCTGTTCTGTCTGAAACTGTTGCTGTCTCACGGTCATCAGGACCTCACATGCATTTTCTCCGCACGGAGATACACGTGCACATGCACCTGTGGGGTACATATATGAAAGAGTAATTATCTCATTACAGAGGAAGTGGATTAAGAATGATATATGGGAGGATTTCAGCTCTCCAGTATGGAAATTCTTCCTCAGGCTACGGAGTTGGAGCTGAGAAACAGGTGTGGCGAGGAGGGTGTAAAAGAAATTACAGTGGAGGAAATGGATCTGTGGAAAGAAGTGCTGGCTGTTCATATCATGGTGTGTGTCTCTTAGTGCTCTCCCTTTCTCTCTGGTTCATCTGTGATTCTATATGAGAGAAAAAACGTACAAAACCCTGCACAAATGCATCACATTTTTTATGTATGTATGTTTTTATGTGTGTGGAAACAAGGACTCGTATGTGTGACCTTGGCTTTTTCAGCTGGGAGATATTGATATTCTCTGCTTCCCCCTCTCTTGATTCTGCTTTCATGTGAGAACCTGTTAATGTAATCCGCTGAGGGAATTCATCCTGCCGGGTACTGAGCCTCGGCTGAATCCTAAAACAACCACCACACAGGGATGACTAAAGCCAACTCCGGCCTGTTCCAGTTTCATCTCACAGTACGGACTGATCTGCCAGTGACATCCTCCTCTCTCTTTTTCGTTTTTGTTTCTCTAGGCCTGAAGACCTTCCTGATCTCTGGCAGGAAGGTGGAGCCTCACTCCCTCTGTAGCTGCTCTCAGTTGGGGTTGGCGGGGCCTGAGGATCCTCGGTGCCCCGCTTCCAGGGTGCACACACCTGACGGAGCGCCGGCAGCCTGCACCCTGCCTCCGGAAAGTGCTAAGGTGAGCACGCTCTCTGAGACAATGATATGAAACATCAGCCACGTTGCTGAGGAAGTAAGTATATCTTTGGGATCATTGCACATCAATATCGCCTGAGGAGGAACACTGAGCTGCATGTTCTGCCACAGCCTCTTTGATGCTCATATTTTTTTTTTTTTGCTCTCTGTGCGCTTTTGTGTATGTGGGTGTATCAGGAGCTTTAATAAATATTTTCTCTTTTTTTTGCATGCAAGGAGCTTGCTTTTGTCATGTGTGGAGGAAATGAAAAAGAAAATGGAGCTGTAACCTTGCACCCTGCAAGCGGGGAGTGTAGGGAGAGGATGATGGGAGGCAGGAGAATCAGTGGGGGGTTCTCGGTATGGAAATGAGCTCAAGCAGGGCGATGGGAGGCCCTCCTCAATTCTTTCTGCCTTCGACTGAATGCTCCTCCATTTTCAGCTTTTCATCCTCTTGCGTGGCTCTCACACAAATACCGCTCTGCCTCATGCTGACGGATCACACTCGCCGAAACCTTAAAGTCAAGGATTTACAGGGCACGTGTGGTTTGCATGTTTAACGTAGCATGCAGGTACACAGTGTGTGCCACCTCTGGCTCCTATACACTTAACGGTGCCTTGCTCATGTTCATGTCATGGTCATTCATAGCACAGTGCGCAGCACAGCTGTCACACAAATCTCTTTCTCTCACACACACACACACACACACACACACACACTCTCACACTTTCCATTCTGTTTGAAGAGGATGAGTGGGATGGAAATAAAGACCTTGAGCCCGCGTAGACCGTATGCCTCTTGTTTACTCTCCATCTCCTTCTCTGTTTCTCAGTGACTGCTGCCGCTCTTGTTAGCAAAGTCCTCGCTGAAATAAATCATAATAAGCCAATAAAAAAACGTGAGATGATAGTAAGGCTTGTCACAGCCATGACAAGTGTTGTCTTTTTGCTGCCGCGATGCTTCTGCATGTTTGTTTTGTCATCTTGTCATCCCGCAAGAGTTTTGATCTCGAGCTCTGCCGTCCTTTCATGTTTTCTCTGCTCGCATCCTTGATCTGTATCTCTCAATGTGTTCATTCTCCCTCTCTTTTTTTTTTTTCTTTACTTTCCTGCCCCCATATGCTGCACCTCCCTCCACACTATCCTCCCCAACTGCTGCCTCCCTGCAGTCTCCTTGTATATCCTGCAGTGTGGCCCTCATACCAGGGGAGGATCAGGTTCTGGAGGAAGGAGCGGTTCACAATGGCTGCCATGACGACCGCAAGACCAACAGCAGCAAGGTTAGCCTGTTGTTGTCATCCGAACCAAACAACTGAGACTTTTAATTTGTTATCTAACATGATTAATATTTGACTTTTCTCAGACACTATTATCGTGTATGTTCACTGTAGAATGTTTCATGTTATGTTTCCCTAAAATATTGAGGCATTGTGATCCAACTCTGGTTTCATTTACTCAGGCCCAGCAGCAAAAGGGAAGGACTTAAAAATAGTTCAAAGAATTAGAACTCCATGAGTCCCAGATAAAGTGTGCCACAGACACATGCATTTAAATTGCTATGACTGTAGCGCACTCTTTAGCTTTATATTTCATATTTGGACCCCTTTATATCACAACTGACCCGTTTCCGAAGCAAAGATCCATTATCACTGCTTCTTTTTTGAGAATTCAGGGCTGAAAACGTTCATTTAAATGGAAACAGTGGTGTGTTGAACACCCTGTCGTGCTCTGCAAGTGCTCTGCCTTTAAATATGGTGGGGTTTATTCTACTCAGCTTAATTCAGTTTGATTCAAAAGGACCATTGCTGAAGTAAGTGTGAAATTAAAACAAAAATGTATGCACACTAAGTAAAGATCTACTGTGATTTGGATATATGCGTCGCTGCTGAACGAGCAACACCTCTAACACACCACCAGTTCGTACCATTTTGAGGAAACATGTCATTCAACCCAGAAACCGTAGCAAACCGGTGCACACTGTTTTCAGATTCAGTGTGTCCTACGTCTTCTCTCCCTCTCCTTTCCACCAGGACTCTTCAAATCTCAAGTGCTCCCCAGCGGTTTCTGCAGGGCGCAGCCCCAAGACCCTGAACGGCCTCCTCAGTCCTCAGCTGGAGGCTCTGAACAACAGCCAGACGTCACTGTGCGAGATGCTGCAGGAGAAGGAGAAGAAGACATGGAGTGGAGGAGCCATGGGCATGGACCACTCGGCGCTCATCCCTCTACGCTCCAAGAACTTCAGGGAGAGGAGCGACGCTCACTTTGTGGATGTCATTAAAGAGGACAGGTTAGTAACAATTAATCATAATGTAAAGTTGATGAGGATGTCAGTGTCCGTTTTAAGATACTTGATTGAAACACTCAAAATCCCAACTGAATATAACTCTCACGGCATTTCCTCTGTGCCTGTGACAGCCTCATGAAGGACTATTTCTACAGACCTCCCATAAATAAGCTGAGCCTCACCTTCCTGGAGAAGAGCCTGGAGTCTGCTTACCGGATAAGCAACCAGGAGGAGGTGTGTGTGTGTGTGTGTGTGTGTGAGCTTTTTTCGTGCATGACATAACGGTGCCTGCATGTCTGCGTGTTTAATGAGTGCTCATGTGTGCGTCTGTTTATACTTTACATTATCTAAAAATATAATGAGCTTACCGTAGCCGTCTTTAGTGTTGCTGGGAGTTTTGCAACTGTCAGAAAAAAAAAACAGTGTGTTTTTGCGATGCCAGTCATCCCACCTCTGCTTTCTCCACCTGTTTGCGTCTACCCGTGTTTGTGCGTGTCTTTCTGGCTGTTTGTGTTTCTCTGTGAGTCTGCGTCTTGTCTGGGAAGCCTGTTAGCTGCTGCGTTATTATGACCAGACCGGTCAAGACTGCGGCAAAGAGAAATCACTGCAGGACCTTAAAAGTAGTTTTGTGTTAGTGTGTGATGTCCTCTGCTGGCGTAACCTCAGAAGTGCACCTTCACTGTGGTGGCTGCAACTGTTTCTACATCGTGTAGTTTAGAGTCGGAGGCATTGACATGAGAATTAGGATAGATTTTAGTGGACTTACTTGATGATGATTTTATTTCTGCTTGCTTTTGTCTGTTTTTCCCTCTTTCTCTCTCTCCCTCCCAGGTGGAAAACCAAGCAGCAGTGCAGACTTTCGCCAGTCCAATGTTCAGTTCCTTCCTGGACATGCTGCTGTGCTGCTCAGTGTTTCTGGCTCTCTCGCTGGCCTGTTTCCTTCGACCGCTCGTCACCCAGCAGAGTTTGTCCACACCGGCGCTTGTTCTGACAGCTGTAGCCGCCCTGTTGGAGGCTGTGGCTCTGCTGTTAGCTATACGGTGAGATAGTGAAGATAGAGTATGGGTCTTAAACTACGAGACAGCCTGCCAGACAATGTCAGCAAACCTCCCCCACATGTTCAGAGTTTATTGTTACATATGGCCATGATAGTAATGTTTTTTTTCTGTTTTAATTTGTTAGCATTTTAATTTAGCCTCTTCTTCTCCACCCCGCCCGACCATAGACCAGCTTTTGTCTTTTTTATGTGAGGCAGGGTATCTTTAGGGGGAGATAGCAGGTTTACAGTATATACCAAATATAAGTGGTCTGCATCATCTGAACCAGAAGATTAATTTGAGATGCAGCTCAGTACTGTGTATCAAGTTGTTCTAGTCATAAATATGTAATTAAAATTGTTTTTGATTATGTGCCTATTCAAACTTTAAAAGTTTAGCGTATAAGGGTTAAGAACATTATAATGGAAGTATATGATGGCCATTCTCATGCTTAATTATGTCTCATAAATTGTTGCATAAATAATTTTTTGGGTTGATACCATTTGTTTCAAAGTTTGGTGCTAAATTTAAGCTCTTTTGAGCACTTGAGAATTGGTAAAAATGGTCAAAAATCCCTCAAAAAAAAAAATACAATATTAAGACACTAAGTCCCTGAGGAACGTCACAGAAAAATCCATGCTGTGGTTTGGTATCAAAAACTTTCTACATTTGGTGAATTCTGTAAGAATTGCATTTGTCGGCAATTCGATGGCGAGCGCTGCTGTTCTAGAAACTGCTGAGAAACCCCTCTTATCATGAATAAACCTACGAAAGCTATACATCCTCCAGATGCCTGAGGTTTCTAGGTAAGCATTGTAAAGTTTCACGAGGCTGTGATCATCCTAGAGGTCACTATAGGTCAGTTTTTACAGTGATGTCCGTGTCAAAAAATGGTCTCACTACAATAAAATGGCATCACACATGAACAAAATGGGCTTATCTTTTCAGTCATACCCAGTTTATGTAACTCCAACATTGTTTAGGGACCCAGTGTTCAGAAATATTCAAATACAATAGGCAAAACTACACACTGCATGCAAAAACTGCATGTTTTTTGCCCCAAACTGCATCCAACTAGCATAAAGTGGGCATATCTGTATAGTGGAGGCCTGTGGGCATCCACAGAACCCATTTTATTCAGGTATCTTGAAGTGAGAGGTCAAGAGACCCCCCTGTGAAAATGCCCATGCCATTTGAGCGTTATTTAACCCTTCCCGACAAGCTAGCATGACATGGTTGCTACCAATGAATTCCTTACATATTCTAGTTTCATAAGACACCAGTATATTAACTCTTGCTTTAAGACTCAGCTCGCTACAGCCTCTTACAGACAGAAGAGAACGCCAGCATGCCCGCAGAGTGGAAGAGGTTACGGTAATAATTTTGTTTAAAGGAAAAATCCCAACACACAAATTGGCCCTTTACTCCACATTCAACATTTAGCAAGCTGCTCCTAATAGGGCCACTTGTCAACATTAATACTTTAGTTGTGATAAACTGCACTCTGATTTGTGCAGCACAACACACACTAAAGTGTCCATTACTTTGAGAAGACTGGTATGGAAGCGTGATGCATTCACTTGAGAAAAAACACTGTTTTTTTTAATTAACAAGTTTATTATCACAGAATTCTGAGAAAAATCATCATGAAAGAAAATCAGCTCTTAATTGTTTGAATTAACAAGATAATAATCTAGTATTTTTTTCCAATTTAACAACATAGTAATGTTGTTAATACAGAAAAACAAGAGCAGTACTGTAAGTGTAAGTAAGTATACTGTAAGTATAATTCAGATATATAATGAGACAGTTGGAAAGCAGAGAGAGGGAAAAATGGACAAGGGGGAGATGTTGGCACAGACACTTACTTGGCAACCAGGGAGTATTAGGAATGAGGGTTCTGGAGCAAAAACAGCCCAGATGATTTTTTTTTTCTTACATACAGTACAGGCCAAAAGTTTGGACACACCTTCTCATTCAATGCGTTTTCTTTATTTTCATGACTATTTACATTGTAGATTCTCACTGAAGGCATCAAAACTATGAATGAACACATGTGGAGTTATGTACTTAACAAAAAAAGGTGAAATAACTGAAAACATGTTTTATATTCTATTTTCTTCAAAATAGCCACCCTTTGCTCTGATTACTGCTTTGCACACTCTTGGCATTCTCTCCATGAGCTTCAAGAGGTAGTCACCTGAAATGGTTTCCACTTCACAGGTGTGCCTTATCAGGGTTAATTAGTGGAATTTCTTGCTTTATCAATGGGGTTGGGACCATCAGTTGTGTTGTGCAGAAGTCAGGTTAATACACAGCCGACAGCCCTATTGGACAACTGTTAAAATTCATATTATGGCAAGAACCAATCAGCTAACTAAAGAAAACCGAGTGGCCATCATTACTTTAAGAAATGAAGGTCAGTCAGTCCGGAAAATTGCAAAAACTTTAAATGTGTCCCCAAGTGGAGTCGCAAAAACCATCAAGCGCTACAACGAAACTGGCACACATGAGGACCGACCCAGGAAAGGAAGACCAAGAGTCACCTCTGCTTCTGAGGATAAGTTCATCCGAGTCACCAGCCTCAGAAATGGCAAGTTAACAGCAGCTCAGATCAGAGACCAGATGAATGCCACACAGAGTTCTAGCAGCAGACCCATCTCTAGAACAACTGTTAAGAGGAGACTGCGCGAATCAGGCCTTCATGGTCAAATAGCTGCTAGGAAACCACTGCTAAGGAGAGGCAACGAGCAGAAGAGATTTGTTTGGGCCAAGAAACACAAGGAATGGACATTAGACCAGTGGAAATCTATGCTTTGGTCTGATGAGTCCAAATTTGAGCTCTTTGGTTCCAAGCGCCGTGTCTTTGTGAGACGCAGAAAAGGTGAACGGATGGATTCCACATGCCTGGTTCCCACTGTGAAGCATGGAGGAGGAGGTGTGATGGTGTGGGGGTGTTTTGCTGGTGACACTGTTGGGGATTTATTCAAAATTGAAGGCACACTGAACCAGCATGGCTACCACAGCATCCTGCAGCGACATGCCATCCCATCCGGTTTGCGTTTAGTTGGACGATCATTTATTTTTCAACAGGACAATGATCCCAAACACACCTCCAGGCTGTGTAAGGGCTATTTGACCAAGAAGGAGAGTGATGGAGTGCTGCGGCAGATGACCTGGCCTCCACAGTCACCGGACCTGAACCCAATCGAGATAGTTTGGGGTGAGCTGGACTGCAGAGTGAAGGCAAAGGGGCCAACAAGTGCTAAACACCTCTGGGAACTCCTTCAAGACTGTTGGAAAACCATTTCAGGTGACTACCTCTTGAAGCTCATGGAGAGAATGCCAAGAGTGTGCAAAGCAGTAATCAGAGCAAAGGGTGGCTATTTTGAAGAAATTAGAATATAAAACATGTTTTCAGTTATTTCACCTTTTTTTGTTAAGTACATAACTCCACATGTGTTCATTCATAGTTTTGATGCCTTCAGTGAGAATCTACAATGTAAATAGTCATGAAAATAAAGAAAACGCATTGAATGAGAAGGTGTGTCCAAACTTTTGGCCTGTACTGTATATAGACTCACAGGCAACTTCATTGGGTACACCTTGCTAGCACCAGGTTGGACCCCGTTTGCCTTCAGAACTGCGTTAATTCTTTGTGGCATAGATTCAACAAGGTGCTGCACAAGGTCGGCTGCACATCCATGATGTGAATCTGCCGTTCCACCACATCCCAAAGGTGCTCTATTGGATTGAGATCTGGTGACTGTGGAGGCCATTGGAGTACAGTGAACTCATTGTCATGTTTGAGATGATTTGAGCTTTGTGACATGGTGCGTTATCCTGCTGGAAGTAGCCATCAGTAGATGGGTACACTGTGGTCATAAAGGGATGGACACGCTCAGCAACAATACTCAGGTAGGCTGTGGTGTTTAAACCATGCTCAGTTGGTACTAAGGGGCCCAAAGTGTGCCAAGAAAATATCCCCCACACCATTACACCACCACCAGCAGCCTGAACCGTTGATACAAGGCAGGATGGATCCATGCTTTCATGTTGTTAACACCAAATTCTGTCCCTACCATCTGAATGTCACAGCAGGAATTGAGACTCATCAGACCAGGCAACATTTTTCCAATCTTCTATTGTCCAGTTTTGGTGAGCCTGTGTGAATTGTTGCCTCATTTTCCTGTTGTTAGCTGACAGGAGTGGCACCTGGTGTGGTCTTCTGCTGCTGTAGCCCATCCTCCCCATTCTGATGCTCAGTTTGAACTTCAGCAGGCCATCTTCACTTAGGTCTACATGCCTAAATGCATTGAGCTGCTGACATGTGATTGGCTGATTAGCTAGTTGCGTTAATGAGCAGTTGAACAGGTGTACCTAATAAAGTGGCCGGTGGGTGTACATTTATATTATTTAGATACACCCACTTGAGTTTATTATTCATGTTGGGATCAGGCTGGGTTCAGATAAGACACTTAAGTATCAGATAAACACTTTATGACTGTTATCTCTACATCATAATAATCTGTATATCAATAACAGTTGTCTGTTTTCCTCTTCAGTATGGCTTTCTACCTGGACAGTGTGCTGAATTGCACTCGGATGCTGATGAGAGCGATCTCAGGCTGGGTGGCGCGTCACTTTTTAGGAGCTGTCCTGGTGTCGCTGCCCACTGTGGCCGTCTTCTCCCATGTCTCCTGTGACATGCAACTCTCCATCCAGGTGGATTTTAAGTTTCATATTTTTCCTACTTTTAGAAATGGATCATGTGGGTGTTGAAAGCTTTGATTTGATTGCTGACTTCATAGCAGATTTATCTCTCTACCTCACCTGTAAGCCTACCATGCTCATAAAATATCCATATCTGACTTGATTATATTCAGCATATGTCTTTCAGTCGCACAATGTGTTGCCTGCAATCAGTGGAATTTATGTGATAATCTTATGGGCTCTTTTGACTAATGATTCTGTGCCCCGTATTCTCCCCAGTTCACCATGTTCATCTGCTGTGCTGTCATCATAGCTATCATTCAGTACTGTAACTTCTGCCAACTCAGCTACTGGATGCGCTCACTTCTAGCGACTTTGGTGGGACTAGCAATGCTTGTCCTGCTCTTCAGCTCCCCCTGCAGGTATGGTATGATGAAGGGACAATGAAAGGAAATAATAGATTTGAAAAATGTGGTATAATTTAACTGTGTTCAACAATAGTGTGATGATTATGTGACAGCTTGCTCATTGAAATTTCAAGAAAAGAGCATATATATGTGGAATTGCCAGCCTCAAAAGCTTGATTTGAAACAATATGTGTTATTTTGAGTAAAGGATTTTCAAAAAATGTAATGTTTTGTACTCATGGATGGATTACTGAAGGGGCCTACCAGGCAGAGGACCAGGGGGTCAATGCGTTAGGGGGCCTTCACCCTGCAAAATATCTCTCAAATTAACACATACTGACCAGGAAGAGACTTAGAATGACAACAATGAGACACAAAAAGGCCACAGAAAGTTGGAAAAGAACAGCAAGGAGACACAAAATAATTATAAAACAGGCAAAACAACCACAATAAGACAAAAAATAACTTCAAAGCAACACAAAATGTTCCGAAAATTACCTCAAAGAGACATAAACTTATCTCAAAGGAACAAAAAAAGTTGTCAGAGAGACAAAATGTCCACAAAAAGACACAAAACAATGACAAGGAGACACAAAATGACCAAAAAAGACAGAAGATTACCTCCAAGAGACACAAAATAACTACCAGGACTCAAAAAATGACTATAAAGCAACACAAAATGTACTGAAATCTACATCAGAGAGAGGTAAACCTATCTCAAAGGAACAAAAAAAGTCATCAGAGAGACAAAATGTCCACAAAAAGACACAAAAAAATGACAAGGAGACACAAAATGACCCAAAAAAAGACAGAAGATTACCTCCAAGAGACATTAAACAACCACAAGAACTCAAAAAATGACTAAAATGAGGCACAAATCCACAAAAAGATGCACACAGACTGCAAAGGGATTCAAAACCACCACAAAGTCTATAGGAGATATGCTGGGGCCCTTTGCGTAGATGTGCCTAGGGCCTCGTTGTCTCATAATCCGTCCATGTTTTTACATGAAGAACAAAACACTGTACAACTCTTCAACCAGACTGACACCTGAAAGGGCAGAAAAAGACAAAGATACCACTGAGTAACAGATCAATGAGAATAGAAGAAATCACCACTCACTGGTGAAAGAAACTGGAAGCTCAACAAGTTCCTGTTTCACTGTCATAGTTACGCCTCTAACAAGCTGGAAACAGGCGTGTTGCTTTAGCAAAGCTATATTTCAAACTTTATAAGAGAAAAAGGAGGTTAGTCTAGGGTTAGCACTATTGGAATTGTATCAGGGAATATCAGATGAACATACTATGGACAGACAGTTCAAACTTATTCAGTCTGACCACTGAGTAGATTGTAGAGGCCCCAAAGAAAAATGGCTGTCAAAAATATTTTGAGCCCCATTGCATAGTTGTGTTCAATAATGATCGAGTCACTTCTGCTTTTCTGGACTGGAAACAAAATTTGAATGGTGTTTTAGGGGATAAATGGTAACAATGGTATTCTCCCCTGTCATGAGACACTGCAGGGAGATCAACTAAATGGAAGTTTTAATCACTTAATTCCTCTTTTGTAGCCAAAGTTATTTCAAATGTTCATAACACGTATGTTGTCTGACTTACTCTGTTATTATCTCTTTAAATTAACCATTTTTGAGGGAGAAAGGACAAAACATTAACATAACAGACAGTGTAGATTGACTAGTGCTGGATTTCTACATGCACTTGATGCATTAATCAAGTGTTATTTGTGTTTCGTCTTTTCCAGTGTTGCTAAGAAGCTGTTTTTCTGGTAAGTGCAATGATTATTGTCAGCTTTGTTAGTGTCACAGTTTGCACCTGCTCATCAACCAGTTTACTTATTGTTGGTAGGCAGTTTCTGGGAATCATTCTTGTGTTTTGCCTGCATGGTGCAGAGTTGAAATTTCGATGAAGTTATGCCAAAAGCATTTCTCTCTCTCCACCAGGTCAGATGGCTGGAGCAATAACACCAACAGCAACAGCTCCATCGTCATATCCGACAGCCCAGCGGACCCAGACCCACAGGACCTGCTGGGCCCTGAGGCCTGCGTGGCCTTTTTCCTGGTCCTTCTCCTGATCTGGTTCCTCAACCGTGAATTCGAGGTCAGTTACCGCCTGCATTACCACGGCAACGTGGAGGCGGATCAACACCGCATCAAGATCCAGAACATGAGGGACCAGGCCGACTGGCTCCTTCGCAATATCATCCCCATCCACGTGGCCGAGCAGCTGAAGGTCACCCAGAGCTACTCCAAGAACCATGATAACGTGGGCGTCATATTTGCCAGTATTGTTAACTTTAGTGAGTTTTATGAGGAAAGCTACGAGGGAGGCAAAGAGTGCTATCGTGTCCTTAACGAGCTAATCGGAGACTTTGACGAGCTGTTACGGAAGCCTGCCTTCTCCAATATGGAAAAGATCAAGACCATCGGTGCCACATACATGGCGGCGTCAGGACTCAACGCGCAGCAGTGTGCAGATGCGGCACACCCTCACGCCCACCTCCGCGCTCTTTTCGAATTCGCCCTTGAAATGATGCGCGTGGTAGATGACTTCAACAAGAACATGCTGGGCTTCGGCTTCAAGCTTCGCATTGGATTCAATCACGGGCCTCTAACAGCGGGGGTGATTGGCACCACGAAGCTTCTCTACGATATCTGGGGCGACACAGTCAACATCGCCAGCCGCATGGATACTACGGGTGTGGAGTGTCGCGTCCAGGTCAGCGAGGAGAGCTATTGTGTGCTCAGTGGCATGGATTATGAGTTTGATTACCGTGGCACAGTTAACGTCAAAGGCAAAGGTCAGATGAAGACCTTCCTTTACCCGAAGAGCAGTGACAGTGGCCCTGTGCCGCAGTACCAACTCTCAGTCTCACCAGAGATCCGGGCACAGGTGGATGGTAGCATTGGGCGCTCGCCCACTGATGAAATCGCCAGCATGGTGCCCACAACCGGCATAACTGCAAGCAGTACCAATACTATGGTACCCAGTGCCAGCGCTGGTGCCTCTTCTACCACAGGGCTCAGCCATGGGAGAGAAGCGGACAGCCGTGACAGACGTCCCTCGACCGGGACCTCCCATGCCAGACGATCTACGTCTCATGGTGGCATGACATCTATACCCGTTACCAACCTAGAAGGACCTCCTCCGTCTGCAAATAACAAACCGCTCATCATCTCATCCTCTGTCCAGCAAAACACATCCCAGAAAGATACCAAGAAGGACAAATGCGATGATGATTGTGTCAGTAACGTCGGAGAGTTCACCAGACTTTAAGAGTTTGCTACAATGGCGCTTTAATCATAAATGCTCGACCCTTTAAGCTCTTGTTCCTGCCGGTTGGCATTTGTAGAATTGCTGTACATTTGGTCCTACCCTGGGTAGAACCAGAGAGAAAGACCCACTGGCCTCTTCTCTGCATCAGCCAGGCAGCTGGTTGTTTTGAGTGTAAATCTGATTGGCTGATATTATCAGTGGAGGGTGCAGGGTGCACCGCAAAGTGAGCATCAGGCAGGAACGCACAAAGGAAATGGGAAGATGTTGAGGGCTGACTCTGAACCTTCTCTTGCCTGCTACAGATCCCATCGTCTCCCATTAACTTACTTGATTATCCGTACACCTTTAATCTTAATTATTTCTTTCATATGTCTTTTAAGTGCCTTTAGAGTAGAATAATGTGTAGACTAAGCCTTTTTGAGTAAGGGAAGAACAACATAAAGGGAAAACTGTAAATAAGCAAACTTTTTGGAAGAAAAAACTGCTTTGCTTTTGTTATAACTTTACTTTGTAAACTATGCTTTGCTATGATATTTTGCCTTTATCGAAGACGAGCTCACCTTACATACAGAAAGTGCTACAACAAGTGAAGGGAAATAAAATATCACTCAAAATCTGCACTAGACGGCTGCGGAGCCTGTTCTTCATGAGAAGCAGAAAACTCTTCATGAAAGGCACAGCAGCAGCAACTAATCAATACAGGCTAAGGGCAGACAGGACTGAGCTGCATGTCGTGTGAGTGTATTTGCATTCAGTGTGTGTGTGTAGTAACAAAATCATGCAGGGTTTAATGAGGAGACGTCCCTTATGAATTACTCGACTGACTTGGTGAAACTGCAGGATGATGACAAACAGTTTAGGAACGCAGTCGCAAAATGAAAAAAAAAAATCCTGGTTGCTGATGTGGCAGCTTTCTCCTCTGGCCCTTTGCATTGCCTCAATACTGAGGCATGACGGTCTCAGCTACATTTAATCAGCCCGCTTGCAGCAACAGCATCGTAGATGAGGTTAACCGTTACTAGTGTTATTGCCCTCCCCTATGATCCAGGCTCTTAAGGGAACCCAAGCTGTGTTAAGTGTTGATGAGTATTTCGATGGATCCGACGAGGCACTGCTGTACCTGTAGAGTGTCTTGACTTTAGCGCGATTAGAGAATACAACTGCCTAGGTTTTGCTGTGGATTACACTGTGTGTTAGTTGATAGTGCTTTTAAGACATGGATAATCAAAGTGGAATGTCACAAATCAAAAATGTGTTTTATTGTATTTATTGTTGCACAAAACTTGAACTTGTTCATGTGAAGCTCCCCTCTCTAACTTCTATGATTTGAAGGACAATATTAGGCGGACACAGCTGGATGCGTTCACTGCTTTATACTTTCAATGGCATGAAACTTAATGTAATAACACTGTAAATGCAAAAGGCAGTGTAACAAACGTATTCCGTGGTATTCCCTAGGTGTTTTTTACGCTTTCTTTTTGACTCCATTGATTTCATGCTCTTACGTCAGATCACTAAGGAAATCAAACTGATTAAACTGTACATTTCTGTTGCTCTTACATTTTCTCTCTGTCACTGTTTCTTAGCAAAAAAGGCTTGTGTGCTCAGAGGCAAAAAAAAAAAAAAGTTTTACCATAAATCCACTTCAGTGTCTTCAGTTTAAAGGTCCAGTGCGAATGGAATGTAATATACTAAGTGTCAAATCCTTAGAATGAGCTGTTTATATCTACATAGGAAGCGGGTCCTTGTCCTAAGGGATTGCCATGTTGCACCGCCATGTTTCTACAGTAGCCCAGACTAGACAAACCAAACACTGGGTGTAGATAGGGCCATTTGCCTTTTCGCGTTGGCCACTTTAGTTAGCAGCCCCTCTGTGATGAGCCAAACAGCATCTGAAAAACACTGATTTTTAACATGAAACTGCTTTATTCAGTGTTTTTACCGGTTTTAATTACCTGGTCCGTTTGTTTTGGAGAGGAAGAGACCTCTGCGGATAATTCGGCTCTAGGTAAAAACCTCCAAAACAGCTGGATCTTAAGTTATCAAAGAAAAAAGATGACCACACCATTGCAGGTGCTGGGCTAGCCACACGCTTGCACCAAGCCAAGCAGCATCAGAGAAAGACGGATTTGTAAAGTGAAACTGCTTTATTCAGTGTTTTTAGTGATTTTAATCATCTGGTCCGTTTGTTTTTTAGAGGAAGAGAGCTCCTCAGATAGTTCGGCTACCAGTAAAAACCCTCTGAACATCTGGATTTTAAGTTGTCAGACAAAAAAGGTGAGCACATACTAGCAGGTGCTGGGCTAGCGGCCTGTTTGGGTTGAGCCAACCGAATGCGGTCTCACTCCGAAGTCGTCGAAATCCAGCACTTGGGTAGTGACTTGAAGTGTCAGAAACCAACAAAAAAGGGCATTCTTTGATGTTGGCATGATACACGGAAGGTTGCCATTATAGTTTAACGTTTTCTGGTGGCATCGGGGGCAACGCGGCAGGACAAGGATGAAAGTTGATGCGACGAAAGTCTGACTGGGGCAGGCGGGATTGGTGGTGGATGGGTCCAACAAACACAGACTTTCACCCAAGAGAGCGGTGTTCTTGTCCCGAAAGATTATAAAGTTTTTCCCTAACCCTAACCACATGCTTTTGTTGCCTAAATCCAACCATGTGTGTTTATTGTTGAAGGAAACAAAAAAAAGGCAAATCGCGGTGTACCATTGTTCTGACGTAGTGCTTTTACTTTGAAAGAGACTGTATATAAACGTTAAATTTCCTTTGAAAACGGAAATGTATTTTGAAAGACGTCAATGCATGTAACAGGCAGAACTTGGTGACACGGTGTCCCAGAACGTCAACAACAAACGCAACCAGGGTACCTTTCACGTCGTATGTGGACGTGGAAAGTCCATGACCAAACGTTGATGTGTGACAAGGTCGAAGTGAGAATGTGTTGGCCAACCAGCATCGGAGAAACCCTTACTCATAGCATGCGTGAAACTCCTTTATTCGATGTTTCTACTGGTTTAAATCACCTGGTCTGTTTGTTTCAGAAAGGAAGAGACCTCTGCAGATAATTCGGCTCTTCGATACAAACCTCCTGAACTATGAACCCTGAAGGAATCCTAACTTGGAGTTCACGCTTGGCACATGGGAAAAGTTTCAGCTGGTTGCAATCTGCCATCCTCATTGCTGGATGCCACTAAATCCTACACACTGCTCCTTTACTTAACAACACCTTAACCTCATATTTTTAAATTACCATTTCATAATCAGTACTTTTAAGTAATAAATCAAACCAGACCAATTCTACAGAAAAACAAGAAACCAATTTGCCTTTTTTTTATCATTAAATAATGTATTCCGACTGCCACATTTAACATTACACAAATAGTTAAATAATTTGTGAAGATAGCTTGTGCCTTTTTAACTCTGAACTTGATTTTCCTTGTCTTTTCTTTCACTGTCTGCGTTGAGTTGCTTTCATATCTTAAGACACCGAATATTTCTCTGAGCTTATGAGTAAGCAGGAGAAAGCTTAAATTACTTTTGACAGGATTTTCTAAGGTCATGACATTTAAGCAGTGCCTTTTCTTGACTATTTATTGTGATCACACCAAACATTTTCAACATTAATTGGCCTTATTACAGTTTTTGAATTCCTTTTTTGTATTGTTTGGCCTTCCGTTGTGTACTGTAACTATCGATCAGGTGGAGTTGGGTTGATTAAAATGCAATAATAATAATAATTTGGTTTGAAAGGGAAAATTACCTTTATGCTTATGAGCACACAACCCTTGTACCAACCTAAAATTTGTGTTTGTTATACTACAATAAAGGGACGCTTAGAATAATTGTTATTGTCCATGGTTAAGTGCTTAATAGAGGTCATTAGATTAAGCATATAAGATACATTTCTTTTCTTTCCTTCTTAGTAATTTTGATAAGCTGTTGAATTATGTGTTTTTTTTAAATGAACTCAACACTTTGTTTTTTGATTAGTATTGTATTTGGGACTAACACGAATAATACGATAGTGGCGTCAACTCATTGTTGTGATTGCCACTTGTATTTTTCTCCCTTTTATTTCTCTACAAACACATGAAATGATTTGATTCATGGAGATGTAAGTGACATTCTGAGCCAGCAGAATGGCACACTGTGAGAATTTTGATGCCAAAGAGTGTTATGACCATCTCTCTGAGTTTCTTTGTGTATCTTCTCTCCTCTTTAATTTTGCAGGTTGCGTCACGCACATTCAAGAAAAGGTCATTTATAGTATTCACTGTTAAAACACATTTGCACAAGACGCTCACTTTTTATGTACAGTATGCCTTTATATTGTATAGTACCTGAGCATTTTCTATTATTTATATAAGCGCATGTACTAGAGTATTAAATAGTCTAAAGAACTGGGTAATTTTAACAATGTTGGAATAATACTTGTGCGTTCTGTTTGCCTGCATGTGTGTAAAAAAAAAAATGTATGAGTGTTTGTAAAACTGTGTGGTTGTGTGTGTTTTGGAGGGGATGCTCTAATTTTATGATCTCAATAAGTATGACATGCTAGGACAGTAAGGCTTTAATCACTACAGACGTCCTTTCTTTCTTTCTTTCTTTTTTTTTAAATTTAAACTGGCCAAATAAAATGGGCGAGACACTACTATATGTCTGCAGGTAGGCAGTATTTCAGTAGCCTGCTACCGCCAACTTTTAATAAATTGTTGCTTTCTTTGGAGATGTTTTTGTATATAGCACGCTAATAGGTATGCAAGTGAAGGTTAAAATTGAATAAAGTCAGTTGCTGGGAAATGTTGTCCGGTTGAATTTATAGCCTGTGCACTACAGCCGCTTCTGTATTTACCTGCGGTGGGTTGTAACTTAATATTTGTTCTTAATTGCTGTTCTGAAGGGGCCCGCAACTTTGAGGTACTTCTCCTTAAGTGTTTCTGTTTAATGTTGTTTTATACTGTATGTATTTTACACTATGCTACTCCATTGCCTTAGTGTTACTTTTGCAGATTAGCTTTTACATTTACAAACATTAGCCACATTGATAGAATATGAAACATTGTAATAGATTAAACCAGCTACAACTTTATTAATGCTGCTTACGTGTTAATGACTCAGTAATGAAAATCCAATAATTAATGCAAAGAAGCAGGGACAATCATGCTGCATACTGAGTACTCTCACTTAAAGTAATTAAAATAGGCCTACCTTTCACTCATATTAGCACTATCATCAATGTGTCCTTACCTTATCCTTATCACGGTACTATCAGGCAGAGGTGTGGACACGACTTGACAAAGTTAAAAAAGACTTGGACTTTAATTGACATGTAACATCACTTGGACTTGAGCCTTTTGACTCGAAAATACTTGAAACCTTCCCTTTAAGTGCAAAGATTTAAAAGTATGTTATTTAAAAAGTGTTTTCTTTTCTTAAATCAACTAACATTAATACTGTTCATTCCCAGCTATAGTCGACACTTAATTCCCCAGATCCAGCTTGGTTGAGCCGATCTGACAGGAGAGAACCACGTCACTCATGTTACGTTACTGAGTGCCAGTTGGAAAAAAAATGGTACCAAAGATAGTTTCGGTCATGTACAAAACTACACGGTGGTCAGCAAAAAATGAATTGTAGTATGCAAAACAAATTACAGATGGAGACTTCGTTGTTAAAATGGCATTAGATTTGTTTAGGACTTGAAACTACAAGTTTTTCTAGACTTAGGATTTGAGTGCCAAGACTTTAGACTTGCAAAAGAATTATTTTGTCCGTCCTCTGCCATCAGGTTTAGAATACAAGGAGATAAATGATTTGCATGTTTAGGAAAATTTGTTTGAAATACGAAAAATAACTGTCAGAAACATTGAACAGTGCACCTATCCTAATAATTGTTTTCTTACAATATCTCAACAGCTGAAGCTGGTTCAGAATCAGTAAGGCTTTGCACATTATCATCCAACCTTTGCTGTTTAATGTTGCACTTACTGTACACGCATACTCATGGAAAATATGCGACTATGGCAGATCTGAATAGAAAGTTGTTCTAATATAATGCATCAGGACAGGGGCTTTGATCAATCAATCAATCAATCAATTTTATTTATAAAGCCCAATATCACAAATCACAATTTTCCTCACAGGGTTTTACAGCATACAACATCCCTCTGTCCTTAGGACCCTCGGGACACTGTAATATGTGGTTAAGCAAGAGGTATTCAGATTTTTACTACAGTAAAAGTAGCCGTACCAGAGTATGAAAAGGTCCCGTATTCAAAGTTATACTTGAGTAAAAGTGCAAAAATATAATCAGCAAAATGTAAAGTATCAAAGGTTAAAGTGCTCATTATCATACATTATCTATCATTCCCTATTTATACAGAATTTTATTCACTGTAAACTTGTTTTGCTGAATTTTTTTTTTTTTTACTTTATTATTTATTGTTTATTTTATGTTACTTTATTCCTTAATTTGTTGACTTTTTAATCTGCTGGTATTTTCTCTGTCTTTGCCTGTAAGGTGACCTTAGGTGTCGAATTACTATTATTGTTGTTGTTATTAACTTGTAAGCAGCATTTTAATTGTGTATTTGTACAGTGTGAAGAGGTTTTAAACTTATTTATATCCTACGCTGTAGTTTCATGTGTTGTAGCGACACATTTTACAAGCTGATCAAGATTATAAAATAATGTATTGTCAAATGGAAAGAGCAGTGCAGTCATTGCCATCCAAAAATGCAATTTAAACTAAAATAAATAAATTAAAAAATTAAAAAAGAAAATAAAGAAAATGAAAAATAAAATGAAATACTACCACTACTTATAATAATAATAATAATAATGATGATGATAATAATGATGATGATAATAATTGTTGTTTTTATTAATTTATAAGAAGCCTTTTAATGGTCTATTT